CAGAAGCAGCAGAATTTTAGCCGTTTTCTGTCCCTGGCTTGGACGGCCGCGTCGAGAGAAGGAGCCCAGCGTCGAGAGAAGAAGCCTGCCACGTGACCTTGCAGTGAGAGCATGTAAGTATTTCATTTCATGCGAAATTCCGCGATCCCAGGACCTTCGTCGTCTTCGCCTTTTTCGCCTTCGCCTTCGTCGCCTTTGGCGTCATCCTTCGTCCTCTTCGCCTTCGTCGTCTTCGCCTTCGTCATGACGACGTATTTGTGCGTCGAGCTCGACTGCTGCATCGTCGCGGCGCACGGCAACAACCCGACGCACATCTGCATCTGGACTGAAATTAACAAAGCGTCCTCCTTCAGGTAGGCCAAGGTTTTTTTTTTGTAATAAGGTAAAAGCCAGAAAGTTGGAATATGATTATCCTAACTCTTCTATGGTAAATTATAGGGTATCCTACCATTAAACCATATTCCAACTTTCTGGAGTTCCCTGTATTATAGCAGAAGCTGAGATGACGCGAAGAGCTACTGGCCGACAGCGGCCGTTTGCCTGCTGGACGTCCAGCGGCTGTGGCCGGGGGAGCTCCCCGACAGCCTCCGTGGCGGAAGCTTGGCGGCAATTTACTTGAGCTGTTGCGTTGGTGCCAAACTTCCTTGCTTTCTGATCCGGCCAAGGAGACCCTCTGAGTTCACAAAATGACTTTTACAAGCTCATCTTGGAGGGCTCCGAGGCCATGGTGTCAGTGCTGTGCGTGGCATCTCGGCTGATTCCGTGTGCTTGGACAGAGACCTTCCTTTTTTTGGGAATGTTGAATGCTGAGCCCACCCAGGTCATGGGCATCTGCGCCGCCAAGGATGGACGAGACGACAAGGCCCACGTCATCATCCTCACGTGCAACTTGGCGATCAGTCACTGGTCCTAGGAGTGAGTTGCACCATGTCGAGTCAGACACTGCTTGGTACTTAGGCGGGGATGGTCGCCTTCGTTCCGTCGCTACTGCGATGGTGGTGGGCTGGTGCTTTATGGTTTCGCTATGGGTGCCGGGAAAATCTGCCTTCTACTCAGACATGGACGACATTCCAAGCTTCGCAGAGTCGAAGAAGATCACAGCTGCGATAAAAAATATCCAAACAGAGGCGGAAAGGAGGCCGATGGGCTGCATAGTCAATGTTCAATCAATTCAACGTGTTCTTCCTTTAATTAGTCCTGCTTCCTCAGGTTCTTGAACACCGTCTTCCACATGAACATCCAGACCTCAACGCCGAAGACGGAGGACCGTAAAAAAAAAAAAAGGAAAAGGCGGACGTGGAGGAGGAGAAGAACAAGGAGGAGAACGATGACAACGAGAAGAAGGAGGACAACAAGGAGGAGAACCATGACAACGAGAACAAGGAGGAGGAGAACAAGGAGGAGGACGAGAACAAGGAGGAGGACGAGAACAAGGAGGAGGACGAGAAGAAGGAGGAGGACGAGAACAAGGACGACAAGAAAAAATTTCTCGAGAAGGAGGAGTCGTCATTACCGGATGATGATGATGATGATGATCAGCCGCCCCCAAGTGGCAGCAAGAACAAATGTCCGTCTTGGCCTTCGCAAACGGCGAAGTTTTTGGAGTCTCTTGGTCCTCCGCCGCCTCCGCCACCGGGGAAGCCGCCGCCTGCTGATGATGATGACGACGATGGTGACGGCGAGGAAGAGTCTGAGGAGGAGGACCTCACACTGGCACAGCGAATGGTCAGAAAATACACGCCGGAGCTCTTCGAGCTGATGATCCAGATGAACATCGATGACAGTGCCTGGGCCGTGACTTGCCTGCAAGCATGGACTCAGTTGTTGCCTGCTTCAATATTCAAACAGATGGTCTGTTTTGCTTCAGTCCAGGGGATGGCAGCATTGTGCGAAGAAGACAAGACGAAAGCCCGGGAATTTATGGCCCATATTCTTCGGAAGCTCGGGCGGCATTTCATCAGTAGAAAATCGGATGTTTTAATGAATTATCATGTCTATGAAAAGAAGTTGTTTGAAACCTCACTATCTGATTGCCTTGGCCGTTAACTCAGGGAGAGGAGCAAGAAGGGCAACTGTCCCCTCGACGAAGTGTTCCGCAATGCGTCCGCCAGCGTGCAATTTCATGTCATGTCCCGCTTGAATGTGAGGACTTTTCGCTTCTTGGATTATGCCCGACTTCTTCCTTTTGCAAATTTTTCTTGCTTCTAATTACTTTGTCATTGACGATTTATGGAGTCAATCATTCTCCTGTTCACAAGGACCAGGAGACGGACCAGGACAGGGAGGGCCTTCGTCGTCTTCGTCCCAGCAGCACCAGGCTGCCGCATCTTCCCAGCATCCGTCGCAGTCGACTTCGTCTTGGCACCAGTCGACTTCGTCTTCGCACCAGAGCTCGCAGGATGGCTTCTGGTCTTGGAATAGTTGGTGGGAAGATTGGGAGTGGGTGTGGTATGACGACAATTGGAAGAAGTGGAGCTGGCACAGGTAAGTTTCTGGCCAGCTTTCTTGCGAGCCGTGCCGAAGCCTGAACTACATTAGAACACAAAGGACAGGACCAATTAATAGTTTAGTCAAGACTGGTTTTTTTGCATGGCTCGCAAGACCACGAGTCTTCCAGGCTCTTCCAGCGAAAGACCTCGATTGCAGCACAAAGTGGTCCAAAAGTGAAGAAATGCTTTGCTCAGCTATTTGCGCTTTCCTGATTCCTTGGTCACACCCCATTCCCTTGGAGTTGAGGTCTTTGGCCGACGAGATGTTCTTTTTGTCTGCCCCTCGGCAGGTGCCAGTGCCAGTCGTCTTAGTTCGCACATCTGCAGATACACTTTACTGCCAGGTCTGACCAGCAGCCATCTTCTCTCATTATTGCAAACAAGATCTAAGCCGGGGCCTTGGATTCGACAGTCGTCCAAGCACTCCTGTAGAGTACCCCAGATTCCGCAGCTCGACATGCTTAGGTCCAGTAAAGCATCGAGTCCAGTGCATGTGAACATGGGGTCGTGACGTGCACATTTGGCACCGAGATGACTCCGAGGTCCTGGCCGTGGAGTCTCGACTTGGTGTGACTGGCAAGGCTGAGTAGTCATTCTGCCGAAATCTGAGTTGCAATAAATCCTGCAAGCTTCTGGCGCATGAGGCCATTGGCGATCAGAGAGGCTGGCACCTGGGTTTAGAAGTCCGTGTGTCTCATATTGGGCTGCCGTTGTGTGAGCAAGCAGCAGGAATCGAAGCATGTGCTGCAGCATTTGTTTGCTCTGGGTTCATTGCTGGACCGTGCGAGTCAGTGTCCACCGGGGTAGAATCCAGCAGAGATGGTGCGAGTGCCTTGCCAGTTTGTTCGAGACGCACTTGCTTCTGTGTGTTTAAATTTCAGAGGAAATTTGCAACAGCTGAGGCAACACGGAACAGAGGCAAGGAAGCTGGAGTGCCGTGGTTGTAAGCCAGTCTTGTCATTTATTGTTGCTAGATTAGAACTTGTGCGAAGTAGTGACTGAATCTAAGGCCACACGGAAGACAGGCCAGCTAGAGAAGCAGAGGGTGGTTGTGCTCTGCTCGCAAGTATGCGTCTCTGGCCGAAACGCTCGCTCTGGACCTGTCACTTAGTTCCTGACCAAGATGAGGCTACACGGAAGACGGGCAAGCAAGCAGAGCTGCAAGTGCCGCTTCTGCAATCAGTTGGTTCCAGGACTGGAAATTCACAGACAATTGACAAGCACTGTTGACAAGATTCTTCTGATGTGAGGTCAACAGCTCGCCTTCGCCTTGCACACCCCCTCGGCGTTCCAATGTTCCTGTGACTGCAGAGTACGCAAGACGTTACAGTTACAATGCAAAGTGTCGTTCTGCACCTTGTCCTCTGAATGGTGACCAACGTGTGAGGTTCAGAGCTCGCCGTCGTCTTCGTCGGCTTCGCCTTGGTCGTCTTCGGGGTCGTCTTCGGGGTCGTCTTGTGCCTCGAGTAAGAAGTACCCCGTCAAGATCAACCGGCGACTGGTGGAGCAGCAGATACATGATCTGCAAAGTATAGACAACTACCTGTCCATCCCGAAGAAATCGTTCAAGGCAGTAGTTCACAAGCTCGCCTTGGATGTGGCTCCCCAGTCAAAGCTGCATTTCAGCAGCGAAGCACTAGATTGTCTTCAAAAAGCCACAGAGGCCGGGCGGTAGGTATGAGCTGACGTTTCACTCAGATTCGCCTTTATGAATTGGTGCATGCAGGACTTGGCCAGTGACTTCATCCTGACAATGTACGCGATGTCGCCCTCGCCTTCGGAGTCGACCTTGCGGTTAGTTCGGGGGTTGTGCAACACGTTTTCCGAGCCTCTGCGCAGAACCTTGCTGCAAGCAGCAAAGCCTTGACTTGTTCCTGCACACATGTTCTGTGTGACTCGGCCTGGCCTTCCATTGGTCTTGGTCTCACTGTGGGGTCCTGCAGACGACCATCGTGTCGCCTTCGAGTTCGCGCTCCGGGGGGTCGTGGAGACAAAAAAAGGACATCGGAAGAGTCGGCCAGCTGGAAGGCGTTCGTGTTTGCAGAGGGCGTTAGTCTTTGCACAGCTTCATGCGAGCATTGGTGGTTCTTAGAATTCTAGTCTATCTAAGGTCCCTGGCCATGGTCTTCCAGGAAATTTTCGGAATCCGGAGGCCCGGCTTCATTGGCAGACCTCAGACTCGACAGAATCCTTTTCTTCAATTGAGGTTTGTTGTGAATTCTTGCAGTGCCATGCAACATTATCTTCAGCAGTTTAAGTACCGCAGGTGACAGGTCGCCAGGTCCCGCGTGCATTTTTCATTACGTAGGTTTCAATTCTAGTAGGGCAGGCAGCGCCGTCCGGTCCAGGTCGACATGGAATACAACACTAACAGGGCGAGCAGCTGGAACATGAGATCGCCAAGCAGGCAGACGTTTCAGGCACGGCAGACACATAAGACTAGCGAGCAAGGACGAGGAGGCGATAGACGATGATAGGTCCAGACAATAAGTGCAAACTCCATGTGCCTGCATGTTCCAGATGAATATGAAAGAAGGTTCGGAGGAGGAAGCCCCAAAAACAGGTCTGATGACTTTCTCTTGCTGCCTGTGTCCGGAGTTCATTCTGTTTTTCCAGGAATGTTCCCTGCCGTGGGACGAGCTGAAGGA